CAATTTTCATCCTAAATTTTCATATGTTATATGTTAAATAAAAATGCTACTAAATATTTTGTGAAAGTTTGATGTGGGTGCCATTTGGATTCAATGCAATTTTTATTTTTTTAATCCTAAAAAACGATTTTAAATTCACATCTCTTCCTTAGCTTTTTATATTACAACCCAAATAATTAATTGGTGCAAATATATTTAAGCCTAAAAAATAGAATTTTATTTAACTTTTTTAGATCGAATTCAAAAAGTTTTTCGTTAAAAACAATTTAAATAAAAAATAAATTTGAAAATCAAAATCTATAAATCAATAGAGTTCAATGAAAAATTATTAAAACATTAACTATATGCAAAATTTGATCAATATTTATTGAATAATGAAACCTATATTCCAAATTTTTAATGAAAATACTTATCTTAAAAATAACATTAAAACTCATTCAAAATTTTTCAAATTTTGTACACTTGATCTATATGGCAAGACTTGTCAATTTATTGGTTTGAATTTTCGATTTTTATATTTATTAAATCGTTTTTAATAAATATTTTCGTGAACTTAACTTAAAATATTTTTTCTAAATCTTGTCCCAAGTCTAAAAAAGAGTATCAGCCAATGAGACGAAGAAATGTAATGAGCTTGGACGTCAATTGCACTCAAACACCACGCTTTCCAGCTATGCTTTTCGTAATACTGGGATATCTCCCTTGCGTGGGGGTTCAGATAAACAGAGGACTGAAGCCGGACTTCCAAAGTCAGCAAAATAAGTCATGGAATTGGACGGATGCTTGATTTTCCAACCTTCTCCTTCCCCATTTGTCTCTTTCAATGATTCGTTCCCTTCACAAATCTTGAATTTTCAAAAGCAGCAGATTCGTTAGGTTCATTGGACTACATGTCTACTAAACCCATTTCTTAAACTGAAATTTTATTAATTGATTAAAACCCCAGGATACCTGTGACTAATTAAGTATAACTTTGTAAGATTCCCAAGGCTCAAAATTATTATTAATTGTAATTTTTTTTATTATCGTCATCGTCTGTATAATTTTTCCTGCAATTATCTTCCTACTTCTAACCACCGCAATCATCCATAGCCAGGGCCTCATTAAGGGGAAAACTTCAACTTGGGTAGGTATGAGATAATTTTCATGCATCAGTAGCTGCCGTGGATATAGAACCAAGTAGTACCCTTCATTAATTTACTCCAGGGGGAAAGAAATATATTATGCAATTTTTTTTGCCCATGCATAAATCATTTATATAATAAATTATATCTAAGTCATGAACTTTGGACTCGATTATAAATTATATGAAAGAATATTTATTGGGGAGCACGTCCTGCAAATTTTTGACACAAACTAATATTATGGGTATTAAAATAGTTTAGAGACGATGACTGTTTGCAATAAAATTTCTTGATTGAAGAAATGCATGGGGATACATGTGATGTGAGGGGTTTCGATTAGTGCTTGAAACTTGAAAGCAATTAGTTTGGGCATATGACTCGTAAAAACAGAGCACGATTTCCAATGTTATCAGCTAAGACTCTGTTTCTTGGTATCTTGGTGAGGTGTAGGCCAGCCACGATCGTCATCAAAAGCTGAAACTGTTTTGTTGAGCTCTTCAAAAAATTCAGAATGCTTTTGGATATTCAGGCAGATGACACATATTCCAACCAATGCATGCAAGGATGCCACCTCAAAACCCAAATTGAAAGAATAAAAAAATGAACAGAATTTTTACAAAACCCTACTCTGCTTTAAGAAGACATTCCACTTCAATAGCTTTGGTAATTTTTTTTCCCGGGAATTGGAATATTCAGCTTTTACTCAGTTCTAAAATCAATTTAATTCTTCAAACCCTTTCTAAAGAACCCAACCTCTCTGCTCACTCCTTGACCTCATTTCCCTTGATATTTGCTGAAACAACCCAAATTCAGGTTAAGCAGAAAATTATGTAGACATACTTCAAATGGAAAC